TTCTTCTATTATTTCATTCGAATAATCAAAGTGATATTTTATTTGTGGACCAAGTTGTAATTGGAATATATATAACATGAGAGAATCAAACAATATGACAAAGACCACACAAATAAAATGAACAGTCAAATTCACAAGAAAATCAAAACAACGTGTTATAGACCAATACTCCTAGGAGTTTAAAAAAACAAATAAAAAAAAAACTTTTGGTCTTCTTCTTGATCAAAGGTTAATAATTCTTCATCTAACTTTTATCATCATTATTGTGTTTCTTCTAATATTTCATTTGAATAATCAAAGTGATATTTTATTTGTGGACCAAGTTGTAATTGGGTGAAGAATTGGTCTTCTTCTTGATCAAAGGTTAATAATTCTTCATCTAACTTTTATCATCATTATTGTGTTTCTTCTATTATTTCATTCGAATAATCAAAGTGATATTTTATTTGTGGACCAAGTTGTAATTGGAATATATATTGTTGACACCCAATTTTGACCGACCTTTAACCCTTTTTGGGAATGCTATCTGATTAAATACGCATTTTAAAACATATTTTGAATTCTGAAATTTTAGTCGATTTTGTCTAAAAATTGTAATTTTAGTATGCATACTTTATAAAAATTATTGTAAATACTATTAAAATAATTTTAAATTATTAGTAAAACTCGAAATAATTCAAATGTTTTAAAAATTTATGTAATTTTAACTATAATATTTTATGGTATTGTAATTGGATAGTATTTCTTTAAATTTCCTCAAAATCATTTAACTTTTAGCCTATTCTATTCTAATTCATTTCAATTCTAGCCACTTCAATTAAAAATCTCATTTCAATTTTAGCCTTTGATGATTTCAATTTTGGCCCATTCTTACTTCAATTTCAGATTTCAAGTGATTTAATCCCGTCCGTCCATCTCTAAATTAAATCCTAGATCAAATCCTAGCCCCTCATCTATTAGTTTTATTATAGTTGTTTTGCTTCAATTTTATTTTGGTATTGTAATAGTTGTATAACACTAACTCTCTCCTATATATGAAATAATTTGGGGATCGTCTAAGGGGGGGGGGGGGGGGGGAGGGATTTATATGCTACTTGTTTATTTTTATTTTTATCGTAACTTATTTGTGTTTGAAAGCATGCTTATAGGATTGTGATTTGTTTGATAGGCCGTATTTTAACAACTCCATTTTAATCTAACTAAAATAAAGCAAAGTATGTTATTGTCATTAATCATTTATTTAATCCTTTAATTAGTTTAAAAGTGGACTGTGTTTTAATTGCTTATTATAGTGTGTTATGGGATTAGCATTAACCACCTTCATACTCCTTGTTTCATGTAATTCAACTAAAGCTCCCTTTATATAATAAATGAATAATTTTTTGTAATAATATGTTTTTATATTATTTTGTCATCTTAGATACCATGCCTATAGGATCCAAATAATTTTCAATATGTTTTGGGTTTACAAATTATGCATATAGGTTTAAACTTGTTACATATTAGATAAATAGCATGCCCATAGGATTAATAATTTGTTTAAATGAATTAGATATCATGCCTATAGGTTTGATAATATTTTCAGCGTATTTGCATTTAGAAATCATGCCTATAAGTACTATATAGTATTTGGACTGTTCGACCACCTAGATATCATGTTCCTAGGTATTATTAATTAATTTCCAGCATGCTAATGACTGAAATAATATAACATAAATTTGCCATTGGTTTCAGCATGTTAAACAGTTAAATAATATTCAGTTATAATTATTTCTTTTAATACTGCAACATTACTATTTCTGCTACCTAACATAAATTTAACGAATCTGCAACAACATGTTTTAATCTTGAAATCTGCTACTGTTTTAAAAAGTATTTTTCTGCATTTGCTATGTGTTTATCCCAATTAAAATCGGGTACTAATTATTTTCTGCATTTAAACACCGACTGTCACTTAAAATAACTTCGCATAATAGTCTAATCTGCTACTTCATTAATATGCTATTTTCTGCATAATCTGTCACTTTAAATTTGCTGTCCTAATAAAATTCTGCTCGAAATATTTTAGTTTCTGCATTATGAATAATTGTCTTGCCACTTTTAATCAACTAAATAAGTAATTCATGCATGCTCTATTAATAAAATAAATAAATTTTGCATTGTGTCATAACCCTTCGTCCTTGTTAAATTATTTATCACATTATTATGAATCCTGCTTATGTGTTTGTATGCCACACACTTAGCATGAGACCTTTTCACTCTATCTGTGTTTGCCAGCATGTGAATTAAAATCTAGAGGCCAATGTGAGACTTATGTGCTAAATGCTCGTCCTAAATTGTTTGACTTGGTGTCTAGGTGGGCCTATTAGGAGTTTATTTCAGTCTAAACCCTTCCTAATAGTAGTTTAATGCCTCTTGGACCTTAAGCGGGTACGCTAGGCACCCTTTTGGAGACGAAAAGCATGCGGTGGTGGGGTAGGGGTAGTTTAGACCCTATGGAGATGATGACACTGACTCAGGCTTAAAAGACAAACATTGGTTTTGTCTGTCCCTACATGGAAGCCGATAAAAAAAATAAAAAGAAAGTCGAGTGTTGATTCGTAAAGTCCTTCAGAGTCTCCCTTTCCTTCTCCCTTTTATATGTTTATAATAATTATATTTATTTGGGGTAGTTTAATAAAAAAAAAAATGATTATCCTATTCGATTGTGTAAGTTCTGTCTTCTCACTTATCTTCTATAAATTGTTTCATGTTTTATATATATATTTAATGTTATGTCATGTCATCACTTAGTTTTGCATGCTTAATTAAATAATAAATAAATAAATTGATCTTAATTGTTTAATATTAGTTATCACTTAGCAAGCATGTTTAAATAACTAATAAATGAAGTGACCTTAAATGCTACTTGTAACCCCCACATAAATTGCATGAAACACGGCCGGGGCCCACATTTGTGGACCTCGAGGGATGCCTAACACCTTTCCCTTGAGGTAATTTGAACCCTTACCCGATCTCTGGTTCGTTGACCTTAGTTAGATTTAGTTTAGGTTAGATAGGTGCCCTAACGCGCCTTAATTCGTTAGGTGGCGACTTTTCATTCTTCAAAACCCAAAAGAGTTATTAGGTCGTGCACCAAAACCCGTTTTGAGAAAAACGGGGTGCGACATATCTAACATGAGAGAATCAAACAATATGACAAAGACCACACAATACAATGGACAGTCAAATTCACGAGAAAATCAAAACAACGTGTTATAGACCAATATTCCATATTAGCTACTTCATGCTTTTCCATCGTTATATATAGAACTAATTCCTTCTAATTTTTTGTCCATCTAAAAGCTTATAAATGATCTTTGACGATATCAAATTAATCAAAAAGTTATTTACAAACAACTTATTTCATAAAAAATGGAATTTATAATTTGAAAATAATACAGGTTACATACTATGACAAATAAAAACGATGTGATAATACTATAATATTTTATTACAATATCGATATACTGTATGTATAAAATTCATATGGCTTTATTAGACAAATAATTTCCTTTGCCTCGGTCTATGTTTTTGGTGGGCTGCTCTATGTACTTAAGAAAAGAACAAAGCAAGAAAATAAGCGTGTAATTGTCGTTTGATTTGACTTTAGACGTATTATTCTAAACTGTATTGTATTGGAGGACTAATTCCATTCAAATATTCATATGTTCTAATAAAGAAAAGTGATTAATATAAGGTCAACGTTGGAGCTAAAGGTTCAGATATCGATTTGGTCAAATCCAATATCATTTATTCAAACAATGTGTTTATGTTAATAAAACTCATTGAACTTTCAATTATTAATGATTGAAGTCATCGTTCTAAAATCTTGTACTTTTCTTGGGCCGTTCGTTCAACATTTCAAAATGCATATCGATTGTCGTACCCAACAAAAAAGAAACAAAGAAATTAGGTGTACTGATGATCCTCTTTGGTATACACAAAGATTTTCCCACCATCTTTTCATCTTTAATTTTAAATTTAGAAGAAACCATTTACAAAATTCTAGTATTTTATTAATTAAAATATTGTATGTATATTCTCTGAGTTAAATGAGCAAGTTGAAATAAACATAAGAGAGTCAAAATTGATAAATGGACGGGCCATTACTTCATTTAGAATATATATAATTAAATAATAAAGATGTGCTCTTTCTAAAAACTTAAGTTTTTAGATGAGATGGTCACATATTTCAATATGATAACATAGGTTCTGAGATCGATTCTCTCCGCCATCAATATCAAAAGAATTTTCACGTGCTTGGCCCATGAAAAAAGAACCAGCCGGGAGTGTTGAAATTGAAGAATATAATTATGAAAAATTACCTATTAATTATTATAATATCAAAAGAATTTTCACGCAAAGGGGCGTGTTGAGATTCGAGAATATAATTAGGAAAAATGACCTATTATAACTTCACCCGCCTAATTCTTAACTTTTTTAAAAATAATCTAGAAAACAATTATTTAAAGAAAAAGTGGTGAAAATTTATTTCCTGTTAACAAGGATTAGCAATTTCTTATTAGATGTTAAGTGTAGATTTTCTGGTCTGTTCTCATATTCAACTAGAAAATGAGTATATAGTCTTTACTGATTAATATGTATTAATTATTTCCTTCACTCTTCATTTGTCATATACGACGACGTATTCACTTACGGTTTATTGTACATGATAATAATAAGAATTTTGAAACTCTTTTGATATGGATGAAGAAAGGTGAGCGGATATTGATTTGGCGTTGAATCAAAGATTTTTTGCGAAAAGCTGCAATTGTAGTATAGTCAAGCACGAACGATGAATTTATTTTCATGAGCACATATAATTACATTAAGGATTAGACTGTAGCAGTAGATCTTCACTGTTGTCATTTTCTTTTTGTCCTATACCTTAATTCACTTTATAATTTCATTAACAAAACTATATTATATGAATGAATCAAACAACTACTCCTTGCTGATTCTTTTGATTTTCATTTTACAGACTCTTGTCTTCGTCGTAGTTGAAAGGCAGGGGTACAGACTTGGAGGCACGATATTTCCCAACGTTATTTAAGTGTTCATTTTCCAACCTGAACAGCACAAAAACTACTACTACATGTTAGAGAAAAGGAGTAGTTTGTTGTCAAATAAAACAAATGTTAATTCCAGTTTTAGGTGATATATATATATAGAAAGAAATTAAACTCAATAGATAATGAATGCATCCATCTGACCTGAAAAAGTTCCACATGCCTCGGCGAAGGATTTCCAAACAGGCAACAATTGCAATAAATGCTCTCCTATGCAAAAAAGGCAGTTGTTCAAAATCTAGAACCAACTGCATCCATACTAGTCTCAGAATAATGTTAAGAACCTGCAATGTTTACACTCAAATAATCAAAAACATCCGCTGCAAGTTATTTATATAGTTGTTGATTTTTGAAACCTACTTACAATGGCAACAAAGTAGACAATCTTGTATGGCACAAGTAGCTTGTCTCTCAACCAGGGGTTTTTGGAGTTCCTTTGCAATAAACCCCAATCTACGACAAGGTCCCAATAAGTGTTTGCAACTGTAGTAATTCCTGAAGTTGATGCTGCCATTACTCTCCAAAAGGTTCCTCTCTTCTGATCATATAGTGTCCTCATTACAAGAGCAACAATTGTTGATAAATATTTGAGGCTATTAAACCCATGCATCAAATCTTTCTCTTCAAATAAGCGACGAAGACACTGTATATCATGAAGTCATACAAAGCATCATATTAAATATATATTTGTCAAGATAAATATTGTTAGAAGGATCATTTTTCTTGTGTAAAACTTCTTAAACCTGAATAAACCGAGACCAAAAGGGAATAATTGCGATGAATATGTATAAGATTGGGTAAATTCTGCCATCTTGACATGTATTTGATCTTTCTCTGAAGTTGCCCCACCCATAGTAGCAGACATAGAATTGTAAACTCCTAATTGCCTGAACCTGAAATGCAAGACCTCAATATTATACTTCTATCTGATAAGTAATTCAAAATTTGCACATTACACTGACTGAATTGTCAACTTCTTGGATCCTCTTTTTGTATAACATAGAAGTTCAAGTGTCAAACCTGGCTAGTAAGTTGATCTGCCAAGAAAAAATCTGGTAGAGTAACCTGCAAAATGATGTGAGACATTTTACTATCTATGTAAGTTCTGTTATATTAATGTGTGTGAATCTGTATATCTCTTAAACAAACTGCTGGTACCTTATAAAGGGGAGCCAACAGACAGCGCCAGACACATCTTATAAAGAAGAAACGACTTGAACGATATATGATGTTCAGAGGAAAAAAAGTTATTAGAAGCAGAACCTGAAAAAAGATTTAAGATCATTAGGAGGTTCAAAATTTGAAACATGTTGTATAGTCTATAGATTAATTGTTGAATGTAAGTAAAAGAAGAAGTAATGTTTTTCTAGACTTACAATCACCAGGGCAAGTGGGGTCAGCTCAGTCACTGTCTGGAAACTCTGTGTTTTCGGATCAATATCCATATCCAGATGATAGAGTGCAGCAGCCAATGCAAGTAACGAAAGACCAGAAGCAAGGAGGAGAACTTGTCTGTAACCTAACTCTGTTCCCTGCTTGAAGCCAAATATGAAGGGATAATTGACTCGAAAACGCCTCCAGTAGTATATATTTGCCCCGTACATGACCATATGCAGGACAACGAATCCAAATAGGCTGCAAAGACACACCTTCATTACTCATATATAGTGCTGAAAACATAGGTTTTTCTTGTATATAGACAAACGGAAAGAATCAATATGACTACAAACGAAAGATGATTAGTTCACCTGTACAGTGGAAATATGTTTTCCATAAACTGTCCTCGACTCTCGTTCTCTAGAAGGTTTCCTGCACGTATCGATACAGCAATTGCTGCTACTAATGCTAATGAGCAGCCAGAGAACAAACCTGTAGGTGAAAAGTATATCAGTTACTGAAATGAACATATGACTGATGCTAATAAGGATGCATGCTTACCAAGGAGAAATGTTACTCTATGTGTTTCTTGTTGTGCTTGTGGTCTTAAATATTTCATTCCTTTCTTTCGATTTCCATCGACAAAATGCTTTATGAAAGTGGCTTCGACTCCTTCCATGAGCTTAGAAACCTAAAACAAAAAAAGATTGATGATCAGTTCAAACTATAGTCACAAGTGGAATAATGCTGAGAGGAAAACAATTTTTGAAATTGAAGGAAAATGTACCTCATCCGAGCTACGAAGATAAGATTTTTCAATCACCTCTAAGTATGATTTAGAAGCTTTCCTTGAACTGATCTGTATCAATAAATTGCAAGGTTACTTGGCAAAACTTCGAAACTTTCTATGTCAAATAGTGGTAACTTCGTGAGTATAGTACCTTATCATACTTCTTCATGATCTTGGAAAATGCCAACACATTTAAGGAACTGGTAAAAAATTAAAGTGGCAAAGTATGAGCTGATTTGAGCACAAAAACAGCAGTAACTCCTCTTTTGAGGGTAAAAATGCAACATCACCTGTATCTTTTTAGAAGTCTCAGCTTTTGGTAGAACTCAACAAAAGCCTTTTTCATTTGTTCTTCGACTTTTCTGAGCTCTTCTTTGCTGAATGATAGGTTTGGTTTTGAAGTCATGATACATCTTAAAGTTAAGATAGGTGTTTCGGGTTCAATATTGATTTTCACATAGTCAAGAACCTCTAGTGGAGCAGGCTTAAAATCGCTGGGATTCATCTTTGTAGTATCTCTTTTCCCTATTGTTGCTTCCTCTTCCAGAATTTCTTCACTTGTCATCTCAACTTCTTGAATTGCCTCCTCTTCCAGTATTTCTTCGTTGTTCATCTCAACTTCTTGAATTGCCTCCATATGTGGTCTACCTATCTTGGGGTTAAACAAGAATTCGAACAAATTAAAGAGCAATCAAGCAAGTTTCAATAGCTAAAACATCTTTTATGATGGTTTTGAGTCACTCTACATTACTGTCAAAAGCAAATTACTGAGGGCATGAATGACCCAAAATGGTAACTTATTTTCCCACCAAAAGATGGAACAGTAACATAATAGCCATAGTATCAGCAGAGATTGGACTTACCTGAGCTACTAAAATGCATAGGATCCACTGATGCTGGAGACAAAACACTATCATCATTGCTAAAAGGATCGATGACTTGGTCACTTTGCGCTCCGGTTGAAATCTTATCAACTTTGATTCTTAGAGCAATAAGTGCATCCATTTGTTTACTCAACTGATCAGCCTCAAACTTAACTTCCCCTACTTTTTTCTTGTAAAAAGTTAACACCTTGTTGAATTCATCATCCAGTGTCCTAAAGAAAATCAGCTCACATTCTCCGCCTTCTTCACAAGACACGAGGAAGGTGGTTTCATAGTGACATTCAGATCCCTCTTGCTGCACTGAATTCACTGCTATCACTTCATCTTCATGATTATTTTTCCCTTTGAAACTGTTGTATCTAATTTGTAATCCATTAAATGCTCTGTACATAGATAGCCTTCTCTTTAAGGACCCTCTTGGAGTGGCTGCAACTTCAGGTAATGGTGCATTTTTCTTGTTGAAATTCAAGATTTCCATCAAAAGACTTTTGAGATAATTATAATCCATATAGGCTTCTTGCCATTCATGGACCATTTGGGATGCATATTCTTTCCCAAATTTCATCTTTTATCAGTTTTTTTTTTTTGGTTTAAGAAAAAAACTGAACTTCCTCTGTTTTATATTGTAGCCATGATTGGAGGAATGGTCAACAATCAAGTTGTTACATAGATGAGTAAAAAATAGGAGGTTTCAAAGAATGTATTAGAAAAATAACAAACATATGAATTAAAATTAATCTCTTCTCATTCTCTTGTTAGTTGAGGAGTTTAGAAGTTTTCACTGTCTCAATCAATATTTTAGCTAAATCTCTCTCTTTAATAATTCATTTCCTTTAAAATGAGTGGAGCTGTAAGTTAGATATGCACATATTAAAGGCACCCATGGCCCATGAATATTAGTGATTGTTTTATGATGGTGGTGTTTGGTCCATCTTTTATGCGCTTGATTGTCCAGTTAGTACATTCTACTTTATCTGTCTCTAATTACTTATTCACTTTTGAATTCATATACCTATTAAGAAAAACAATAATTGACATAGTGAATTTATTATTTTACCCCTATTAATTATGAAGTGGATGAATTAAAAAACTTAAAAATTTCAAGAAGTTCTACCTTTTTCAAAATAATTAATTGAGGATATAATACATAAAAACAAATTTTCTTTTTTGATTTGTCAAAATGGACAAGTAATTAGGAATAACTAAAAAAAAAAAGTGGACAAATAATTAAGGATAGAGAGTACTCCAAGTTTATCATATAAAAAATCACTTTGTCAAAGAAAAATCATCCAACTTTGTCGGTCATGTTAACTAAAAAGTAAGGTAAATGTTACCTGAATTTTCATATTTTGTACTCCTAATTAGCTTAATAAAACATATTAAATGTAATAGATTAATTTAAAAGACTTTTCCTCGGATCTCTCTTTGTAATATAATGCGATTACTTGTATGATTTAGTCGAAGGCGGACCCACGTGTGATATATCTATATACTTTGAGATAGACATATTTTATTAGGCATTCAAAGATATTAAAGTTGATTTAGCTCGCATGAAGCTTAAAAATATCAAATAAGATAAGGGGATGACTAGTTCATTATACAAAGTAAAATTTAAAATTAAACCATTACTCCATTTAAGTAAACTTTATTTAAATGAGTCATTTAGTTTATATATATATATATATGGTAATACAATAATTTTATATTTTTATGTTTAATAAGATTATCATATGAATCGATATTAGGTACATGCTTTAACCAACGTGTATTAGCCGTTGACAATGTATCCATCGTCTTCAAATCCTGAATTCGTCCTGAATTTTGTGCGACATTCATCCTTATCTCCTTGTTTTATGAGAGTTCCAAAGGGAAGTTTGCTAGCCGTCTTTACTGACTAATCAATCGTATACACATTCTTTTCCTTGGGTCTTGTAATTGTGGTGTTAGCTTACATAAAAACTGATGGACGACCTTCACTTGTTAAGTCATTTCATGTAAAATGTTGGAAATATATGGGACCTCAACATTCATTGTTTTGTTAAATACCAACTCTTTTGATATAGAAAGGTGGACCCATGTATATTAATTACTATTTGCTGTATTCTTAGCCAATTATTTTCACGTGGTTATGCTAATTCCATGCATAATAGATGCTGCTTCCTCCACCAAGGCTAGGATTAAGAATTTGGGGTTCTAAATTTTAAAATAAAAGAAAAAAATATTACAACCCCACAACACTAGATGTGAAAAGCATTTTCACAACCTTTACCTACAACTAAGCTATAAATGAATTTTATTAGGGGGTTCACATATTAATATACATATATATTTATTTAATTTTTTAATATAAATACATGATCTACAGAAAAGTTAGTTGGTTCGTCCAAACTCATGAACCTCCACTTAGCTCCGCCTCCGCCTCATTTTATATGAGTTAGAACTAATTTGGATTGACTTAATAACATTAGCTTTTAAGTCAATGTCAAACTTAAATTATTTTTAAGTCAAAAAATTAAAAAGTATGGGGAGATCTACTTTTGGTTTTTAACTTATTTTAAGTTATTTATAATTAGCTTGTCGAACACTTTCTAACTTATTTTAAGTTATTTTTATACTCCCTCTGTCCAACAATAGTTGTTCACTATTAACTTGGCACACCCCTAAAGAAACTATAAATAGAAAGGTAATTTTACTATATCACCTTTTGAATATAATAAATACAATGTCTTGAAAAATGTAATAAGAAAATGACTATAATTAATGATAAAGGTAATTAGGAACTAAGTGTAAAATCATCCATTGATTTCATAAAGTGGACAAGTATTGTTGGACATCCCAAAATAGTATAGTGAACAACTATTGTTGGATGGAAGGAGTATTTATCAAACACTTTTAGAAATAAAAAACTGACTTAAAAATGGGTTTGACCAACTTATAAGTCAATCCAAACACCCTCTTAGTTTGACTTGGCATAGAACTTAAGAAATAAAAAAAAACTTTTGAAACTTGTGGAGAAAAGGCCCAAAATAGTCCTCCATCTTTGGGTTAAGACTCAAAGTCATCCTTGAATTTTCACATGCAGCATTAATAGTCCCCATGTTTGCAATATTAGTGCACTTTTGGTCCTCCTTCAAAATTTTGTCTATTTTTTAACATTGATTTTATTCATAATTTATGTGTGGAATGTTTAATTGTCATTTTGTATATTTAGTAGAAATAATAACTCTATGTGAGAGATTGTGAGAAGAAAAACACCTTATTTTGTTTAGTAGAAATCGTATTGCAGGTAAAGTCGAGAGGTGTATCACGACGATTTCACGTACAATAATACAATTTTTTCTTTTCTTGCAATGTCATATGTTAAAATGTTCTTAGTTTAACTGCAGTAATATTTTTACTGAACAGAACAAAGTATTTTTCTTCTCACCTTCTCTCACATAGAGTTATTATTTCTACTAAATATATAAAAATACGATGGGACATTCCTTACATAAAATTATGAACAAAATTAATGTTAAAAAAAGGCAAAAACTTAGGGGAGGATCAAAAGTGCACCAATATTGCAAACATGAGGGACTATTAGTGCTCCATGTGAAAACTCAAGGATGACTTTGAGTCTTAACCCAAAGATGAGAGACTATTTTGGGCCTTCTCTCGAAACTTGTGATCTTGTTTAAGAATAACAAAAGTTCTACATTTGTGATTAATGAGATAGTGTGAACTCCTTATAAGGCTTGAACAATCCTCTTCCATTTGAGTTAGCTTTTGGGGTGTGAGTTAGATTCAAGACTTAATTTTACATGACATCAGAGCAGGACTCATCTCACCCAATGTTGGGCCCCTTAAAAATAAAAAATTGTCCACGCAACAGATGCTAACTAGTGGGCGTGAGTTGGGGTGTTAAAGAATAACAAAAGTCTCACATAAGGGGTCAATGAGATTGGTGGACTAAAGTCTCAGGGAAGTCATGGTCCCTTTGAACTAACTTTTGGGGTGTGAGTTAGACCCAAACCCTAATTTCACATATATAAAATAATGATAGAGGTTGTATGGTTATAAATCATTACATTAATGGTAAAATTGATATTTTAAAGATAAATTGTTATTTAATATAGAATAAAAATGAAAGTGAACATATAAAGTGGGACAAATGGAGTAACAATTTTCGCGAAAAGGTGCATTGGTGTTTGAAAAAAAATAATACATATATTTAGATATTATTTATCTCACATTATAATATTTTTATTTTTATTTTAAAAGTATAAATTATATTAATTTATGTTTAATATTATAGTTTTACCGTGTAGATATAAACTGACATAAAGAAATTCGAAACAAAAATAAATTAAAATGAAAAGAAGAAACAAAAAAAGGAAAAGGGAAGGGGAACAAGTGGAGGACATAAGTCCAGTCCAAGAAAGGGAAAAGAAATTAAATTCGTTGAAGAATAGCAGCATGCCAAGCGACCAAACGTCACTGGAAATTTTCCTGTGCGCCTCCCGGTTGCGCTGTAATTCCGCATTTAATAAATTGGTTTGTATTCAGTTAATTTATTTGGAATTTTTTTTATATTTATAAATAGTCCATTTATAAATCAGAGGAATTTCGCCATTTTAGATTTCACGTTTAAGTTTACCATGGTAAGTAAACTTATTTAGTATTCTCTTTTGAGTCAAATTTTCATTAAAAAAACATAAATTAATTTATTTAATTAATTAAATTGACCAATGAAAATAAATTAATCATTTAGTTTTTTTGTTGGTCAAATTCATACTTTCAGGTTAATAACTCTTCTTAAAGGTAAAATAGGAATAATAATGTTATTTATGTATTGGTTTTGTGAAATGAGAAATATTAAGAAACATTTATTTTTTAGTAAATATGACATAAATAAGAACGGAGGATTAAATTCCTTAAAATTCTTTGCGTGCTCCGTAGTGTATGGTCGTGTTGTTTGGTATCCTTTATCAGATTTTTGAGTAATTTATAAAACATGATTATTATTTTTTTTGGTGAACAGATCATTGGGTTCTGGTTTGACCAATCTTAAGTATTTTTCTGAAGCAAGTGATAAAAAATGCTACCGAAGATAAATTCAAGCCAAACAATGGAAAATATGATGAGACTTTTCATGAGCAAGTGTTTTTAAGACAAGAGGCTGGATTCAGCTTCTTCTTTTTTTCCCGTGTAATTTCACAAACAAAACTCTACTACTATAAACAGCATTGACAAACTATACTATAAACCAGAAAATCATTTTGAGTCCTTTGATTTGCTGGTATCAATCAGTTAAACAAAGTTATTGACTCTTGTCCTCATCGTAGTTAAAAGGCAGAGGTACCGACTTGAAGGCACGGTATTTTCCAACGTTATTCAAGTGCTCATTTTCCAACCTGAACAATGATGAAAACAGCATAACTATTATTGTTAGATAGAGCGAGGGCTTAATCATGATCTTATTATGTGAACAAGTTAGCGGAAGCTAACTTTCATTTATAAAGTAGATACGATTTTAACTTATATATACGGAGTCTGAATCTGAATGTGTAAAAGTTATTTACATTGTTGATGTATAATGCTTCATACCTGAAAAAGTTCCATATGCCTCGACGAAGGATTTCCAAACAGGCAACAACTGCAAGGAATGCTTTCTCGTGCAGAAATGAGAGTTCTTTAATATCTAGAACCAATTGCATCCATACTAGTCTCAGAATAATGTCAAGAACCTGCCATTTGGAGTTCGAATCATCAATAACGTAATTTCAATGCAAGAGTTTTGTTAATCCTATTCAAAGAGGCTTACAATGGCAACAAAGTAGACAATCTTGTGTGGCACGAGTAGCTTGTCTCTCAACCAGGGGTTTTTAGAATTCCTTTGCAATAGACCCCAATCTATGACAAGGTCCCAATAAGTGTTTGCAACTGTAGTAACTCCTGAAGTTGATGCTGCCATTACTCTCCAAAAGGTTCCTCCCTTCTGAGAATAAAGTGTCCTCATCACAAGAGCAACAATAGTTGAGAAATATTTGAGGCCATTAAGCCCCTGCATTGAATCTTTCTCTTCAAATAAGCGGCGCAGGCACTGAGTCATACAAAGCATCATATTAAATATTTGTCAACAAATCTCTGGTCAGCATTATTTTTTTTTTGTCTGCGAAAATTCTCACACCTGAATAAACCGAGACCAAAAGGGAATAATTGCAACGACTATGTATAACATCTTGTAAACATTGCTGTCTTGACATTTGTTTGATCTTGTTTTGAAGTTCCCCCACACATAGTAGCAGACATAGAATTGCAAACTCCTAATTGCTTGAACCTGAAATACAAGAGCACATTATACTTCTTTCTGGTAAGTACTGCACATTATACTAACTGAATTGTAGACTTTTTGTATCCTATTTTGGTATAATGTAGAAGCTTCCCGTTTAGAAAACGGCTGAGTGTCAAACCTGGCTGGTAAGTTGATCTGCCAAGATGAAATCTGGTAGAGTAACCTGCAAAATGATGTGCGACATTTTAGTATCTATCTACTTTCTGTGATATTAATGCGCGTGAATCTGCATCTCTTAAAGAACCGCGGGTACCTTATAAAGAGGAGCGCATAGACAGTGCCAGGCAGTTCTTAGAAGGAAGAAACGACTTGAACGATATATGATGTTCAGAGGACAAAAAATTATTATAATCAGAACCTGAAATAAGACTTAGATCACTAGGGGATTTGAAATTCGAAACATTTTGTAAATAGATCAATTTGTAGAAACAAAAGTAAATAGAAGAACTAATGTTTTTCTAGACTTACAATCACCAGGGTAAGTGGGATCAGCTCAGTTAATGTCTCAAATTTTCGTGTTTTCGGATCCATATCCATATCCAGGTGGGAGAGGGCAGCAGCCAATGCAAGAAATGAAAGACCAGAAGCAAGGAGGAGAACTTGTCTGTAACCTAACGCCGTTCCCTGCTTGAAGCCAAATATGAAAGGATAATTGACCCGAAAACGCTTCCAGTAGTATACATTCCCTGCATACATGAGCATATGGAGGACAATGTATCCGAATAGGCTGCAAAGATAGAGCTTATTACTCGTAAGTATTGCTTAAGATATGGTCTGGCTTGCAGACCGACAAAGGGAAAGAATCAATATGACTTTGTAAAAGACAGATGGTTTAGTTCACCTGTAGAGTGGAAATATGTTATCCATATACTGTCCACGATCCTTATGCTCTAGAAGATTTCCTGCACGTATTGCTACAGTAATAGCTGCCACTAATGCTATTGAGCAGCCAGAGAACATACCTGTAGGTTAAAAGTATATCAGTTAGTAAAATGAACAAATGGTCTTTATGCAAGTGAGATGACAGGTCAATCCAGATGTCTCAAAAAGAATTGTTATACAATACATTTGACCTCCGATTACATAGGAAGAGGAAGTTGATACTATCAAGGATGTATGCTTACCCATGAAAAATGTTACTCTATGTGTGTCCCTTTTAGCTTGTGGCCTTAAAGACTTCATTCCTTTTCTTCGATTTCCATTGACAAAATGCTTTATGAATGTGACCTCCACTCTTTCAATGAGCTTAGCAACCTAAAAAAAGCAACGATCGATGAGAATTTCAAGATATAGCTGCGACTGCAATGATGCTGAGAGGAAAATAGTTTTTGAAAGTGAAAGAAAATGTACCTCATCTGAGCTACCAAGATAAGATTTATCAATCATCTCTAAGTATGATTTAGAAGCTTTCCTTGAGGTGATCTGTATCAATAAATTGAAAGGTTAGAAGGCCAAACTATATAGAAGTACTTTCTATTGCCGAATAGTGATCACTTTAGTAATAGTACCTTATCATACTTCTTCATGATCTTAGAAAATGCCAATACATTTAAGAAACTGCAGAATTAATTAGTAGCAAAGAGTTAGTTGAATTGAACACAAGAAACAACTATGATTCATCATTTGGGAGGAACAAGATTGCAACATTACCTGTAATTTTTTAGAAGTCGAAGCTTTTGATAAAACTCAACAAAAGCCATTCTTATTTGTTCTTCAGCTTTTCTAAGCTCTTGTCTGCTGAATGATAAGTCAGATTTCGAAGACTTAATCACATTTTTCAAAGTCGAGATAGGTGTTGCAGGTTCAATATTGATTTTTACATTGTCCAAAATTCCTACTGGAGCAGGCCTAAAACCCATAGGATTCATCTTTGTTGTATCTCTTTTCCCTGATGTTGATTCATCTTCCACAATTTCTTCACTACTCATCTCAACTTCTTGAATTACTTCCATATGTGACCTTACTGTAAAACAAGAATTCAAAACAAATTAAAGGGCAATCATGGGATGGAGTAAGTAAGCAAGTGCCAGCATCTAATTTATCAATTCCTTTGTTTCTCCCTCTCTACTTCAATGTCACCCATAAAAAAGACAAATAACTAAACGTGACGCCTATGATGGAGGGTGGATTAAGGAAAAGGACAGACAGAGAGCATATACTGTCTTAAGCAAATCCCACATGAAAAAAAGACCGAAGTAAAGTGTTATATAAGACAGAACACAAGTTCACATGATTCCTAAACTATTTGACACAAATTAAAAGGGGTAAAGTATTAGGAACACTAATTGATATCTTTATCACATTGGTTGGCCAATACTTACATTGACTTCTCAAATGAAGAGCAACCACTGATGCTGGATCCATCCCTTGTGCACTATGCATTTCAATTGAAGGCTTATCAACCATAATCCTTAGAGCAATAAGTGCATCCATTTGTTTACTCAATTCATCAGCCTCCGCCTTCACTTGCCCCACTTTTTTCTTGTAAAAAGTTAACACCTTGTTGAACTCATCATCAAGTCTTTTAAAGAAAATCATCTCATACTCTCCACCTTCTTCAGATGACATGAGAAACATAGTTTGATGATGTCCTTGTGACCCTTCTTGCTGCACTGTATTCACTAAAATAACTTCATCTTCATGGTTATTATTATTATTATTCCCAGAAGAACCTTTGAAACTTGTGTATCTACTTTGTAATCCACTAAATGCTCTGTACATAGATATTCTTCTCTTTAATGAGCCTTCTGGGGTGGCTGCAACTTCTGATAATGGTGCATTTTTTTTCTTGAAATCTAAGAGATCTTTCAAAAGATTCTTTAGATAATTATAATCCATATAAGCTTCTTGCCATTCATGGACCATTTGGGAAGTAAATTCTTTCCCAAATTTCATCTTTATCAAAAGCTCTTTTTTTTTTTTTTTTTGTTGAAATAAAAAAGTGAACTTTCTGTGTTTTATCAAATAGAAAGATTGAGCTTTAAATAAGAATGTTGGTTTTGGCTTGTAGCGCGTGATTGGAGAAATGGTCAGCAATCAAGGTGTTAAAGGGTCGCTAAATCTAGTACAATTTCCAAGAATGTCACACAAAAGTACAAATTTATTTTAGGACTTTGAAAGTTTTTTTGTTGTAATATGAAAAAAAATGGCAGGAGGACCAAAACCCAGAATATCACTATGTCTCAATCAATATTTCAACTACTGTCTCTTCTTATAAGATTTGGGGCTGTGTATGAGCTGGTTTGTGCCATTAACAACTTTTTTTATTATTTGTTTTATGACACTGGTGATTTGTCATTTTGGGCACTATTCTACTTGTTATGAGACAACAATCATGAAAGCAGTAGTAACGAAAAATAACACAATTTACGCGTGAATCTCTTAGGTCGTTTTGTAGAGGGCATAAAAATAATGCATAGAATAGAGTGTATTAATAATGTTTGCATTAGTAATGTTTGTATTAGTTATGCATAAATTATGTTTTATGTATTGTTTGGTTTGGTGTATTAAAAATAGAATACATTGTATAAAAATATTTATTTACAAAAATATCTTCCACAATTATGATGGAAAAGATGTAAAAGTGTTTTTGAGAGGTAATTGGGTCTTTAACCATGCTAATGCATGTATTAACTCTTTTTGCATTACTAATATCTAGTAATCCATGATATTAATAATACACTCCTCAATACACAATAACTAACGGCATGAAAAAATGTACTAAATAAGGGACTACTAATACATAAAGTGCATACATCATTATTTTTTTTTAGCTTAATCAAAGAAATAGACGGAAAAAAATGCTACTCATCAACTATCTACCATAGTTTAAATAGACGGAAAAAAAATTACTTAGCACAAACCTGATCTTTCATGATTTTCACCTATTTTATTGTTGAGATTTTGTGAGCTTTTAAAATTTATTTAGGAGATTTATCTTACGTTAAAAATATATTTCTTGTAACTTAAGTTTAAAAGTTTACCTTATATATAAGGTGTAGAATTTCTTACGTAGAACAATTTTTTTTTACCTAAAATAGAAGATTGTAGTCTTGTACTACTGACAATGAAAAACAATATTTTTCTTCTCCAATTTTCTCTAATTTCTTCATTTATTAAGCGTAAGGTCATTTCACTAAATACTAAACTAAATTGGGGAGAATCTAATGTGTTGGTTATCTATTCATATAAATTCAATAATTTTTACTTGGATCTTGTAGATATATACTAAAAAAATCATTAAATATACTATTGTAAATTAAATTATTATTATAATATTAAATTGAGATCAAATTATGAACTTCAAACCCTATATTTGTTCATTAAAAAAACACGTCTTGTTCAGGGCAAAAGTCTACCAAAGTGTTTAAATTAGTATTAATCATCGTGGAGTTTAGTGGTAACACTAATGCTGACCAAAACCGTCCAGATCGTAGGAAACAAAAGCATAACAACTGGAATATTGTATAGTAAAATTAAATATTATAAGCAAAATAATGCATCATCAAATCTCTGTCCAGATATTAAAATGGTTCTGCCCCAATAGTAATTGTAATAAAAAAACTGCGTATGATACTTTATTTTGTCACCTCACTTCGTTTGACTTTCCAACTATGCAAATAAATAGGCAAATTTATCACTTAGCTTCGTTTGGCTTTCCAACTAAGCAAATAAATAGGCAAATTTACCATAAGCTCAGATTCAGAATACCTAATATATTGCTATATTAAATATTTAGACTTCTAGTTCTTCAAAAGTTCTTTCAGAACTATATTTTAAAGTCCACGATGCGGCATGCTTCGTATAATCCTCATTATTATTTTTCTCCTCTAAAATCTTAGCATTGACTTACTGACTTTGTACATTAATTTCTTTTTTAGATATAGCATGTGTTCATATCCAATTTTGATTGGGTTAAATGTTTTGGAAAATATTTTCCAAATCAACTCATTTTTCTCAAATTTAAGGAAAACGACTTTCCTTCAAAACTTAAGGAAAACATTTTCCAAAACTCTCTTCCAACTTCAAATTACAATTTATTTATTTTTGATAAAATTAATTTATTTTGTCCCTACCCTCAAACCAGCCTCCCATCCACACACACCAAAAAAATTTATTTAAAGCTTATTTTTAAAAAACGTTTTAACTTCAATTGTTTTACCCCACCCCACCCTTACCCCTACCCTCAGCCCCCTACCACCACCACTATCCCCAAAAAAATATATTAAAAGTTGTTTCTAAAAGATATTTCTAATTTCATTTTTTTATTTTTTTACACCCCCCACCCCGTACCGTCGCCCCCCATCTTAAAAAAATAATTTAAGTTTATTTTTTAAAATTATTTTCTACTTCAAATTTTTATTTTTTCACCCCCTACCCTCCCCCGCCAGCCTCCCCCCCACCCCACCCACCCCAAAAAAAATTAAGTTTCTTTTTAAAAAATATTTTCAACTTCAAAATTTTATTTTTCACCCCACCCTCGACCCTCCCCCCCCCACCCCCCAAAAAAAATAAGTTTGTTTTTTAAAAATATTTTCAACTACTCTAGTAAAAATAAAAGATATTTCTCAAAAACATTTTTCATTCATAAATCAAATACTAAAAAAAATTTCCGAAAAATATTTTCTACTCACCAACCAAACATGAGAAAATAAGTCAAAAATCTACTTTGTTTTCTAGGAAATTTTTTTTCATGAAAAACATTTTCCTTTTATACCAAACACACCCAGTCTAGGACAAGTTGAATTGCATGAAATAGAAAGGCCCCCCCCTACTTTTTAGTTTGGTAGTCAGTGATGAAACAAGTTATTTATATATTAATTTTATATTAAATTATATCATGTTTAGTAGTAGTTGAAAAATAAATTATTTATAGATAAAAAATATATGTGACGTTTGATTTGCAATTGAGAAATCCTCATAACTGACGTATGTAATTTATGAGGGAAATATATGCATAACTAACACCTATAACTACAAATTGTACTTTTAATCAGCTAACAAATGACTTGTACTTAATTATGAACCAAAAAATTATTAATTTTGGACAAGGCTACTGGTCAAGTTTGTTCTTAAATGATGTATTTGTTGAACAGTCATATCATCAATTCATCACTTTACTTGCTACCGACTTGATTCCTTCTAGCCAATACATTGCATCTTTTTGCAAATTGACATACTATATTTTGTTAGTGGATATATATCTATACTTTTATTTTATTTTTTGCCGGTTTTAATAAAGAAAAGTTTTTTAAAAAAAATTCCACGGAATTGGTTTGTTTCATGTTTGGAAGTGCAAACTGATATCAAGGGAAGAAAATATGGATAATTGTAGGACAGTTTTTTTTTTTTCCATCTGATGACCGCATTAAAACTGCAGGCTTTCAATTAAAAAAAAATCATATTCAAAACTCGTTATTCAAAATCATAAAAGAAAATGTTTTTCTTTTTTGTGTATACGTGAGAAAATTGGATAAAAATTGATCTCAAAATTGGGAAAGTCATATATTAGCATTAATTTCTTTATAGGTTTGCATTTCTTCTTCATTATCCAATTGGTTACTCCATCTAATTAAGAAAAAATTGTACGTTTATTTTGGTTCTTCACTCTTCGCGTTTTTCTCTCCGTTCCCCTTAGTCAATTGATACTTAATTTCTTTTATGTATAATCGTTTTGATATTTGATATTTATAGATTTAAGTTATGCAATATTTATTGAAAGATAAATCATTTTCTATTAAAATTTCTTCGATGAATGGGTTTTATTTATCTCGTCATAAGCTATGAGACATGTATATTTACTTTTCTTGTGCACTTTCTTTCCATTACGTACACCCTTCAATTTCTTCTGAACTCCACTTATTTTCTTTAATTTCCATGCATTAACATCCATTTACTTTTTTATTTTTCTGTAATTTAGATTTAGACTAGAATATTTCTGTACATGGTGCCCCTTGACCTCTTACCCAACATTTTATTGAATGTATCTTTTGTTTTGTATATTTGTCATATATTAAGATCTATTCGTATTTTTCCTTCTTCTTTTTTTGACAATTTCAACTTCATCAAGTTAAATAATCAGCTGTATTAAATGAAACAATAGCCAGCCCTCGAGGACTTGTTCCTTCTAATTAATTTTTCGTCAACTTATATTTATATAAACGGATAATATAATGTGAATGAATTTTTATAGATATCATATCAGCCAAAAGAGATTTTCAAGTAACTATTCATAAAAAATGGAATATGAATTTTAAATATTAAGATATGTTAGCTATTTAAAATAAATAAAGATGACTTGATATCGTAACGATAAATAAATAATTCCCTGCGTCTAGGTCCATGGTATTGGTCGCCTACACTACAATAGAATGATGTATACTGGAGATAAGTACAAAGCAACAAACTAGTCAGGAGGTGTTTAATTAAGCTTTCAGAAGAAAATAAGTATTTTTAACCCAAATTATTTTCGAAATATAAAAAATATAATTTTCTCTAAGGGTATATTTTTGGGGAAAAAACACTTTTTAAAATAATACACTTACAAATATTTTTTGAAAGTTTGATCAAACACTAATTGTTATTCAAAAGTTCTTTTAAAAGAAATTGATTAGTCAAATACAAATTATTTCTCATCATAAAATATTTTTTGATTATTTTTTCTAATAAAAAATATTTTACAAAATAAACTAATTTCAGACCGTAAGCGCAAATTTGGCATTTGATTTGGCTTGACTTCGACATATTAGACATCCCACGAGGACTAATTCCATTCAAAATCTTGTGTTCATGAAGAGAAGTGATCATCAATATTTATATAATTGTAAAGAGCTTATATTGTTCATACTTTATTTTAATGTGCTTAGTAGAACTAACGCCATAAAAATATACTGTTACATCATACAACTTAAATAAATATACTAACT